GGCTCAGACCCCGGAGAGCCAAACCAAGTCCCCCAAGAAGAAGAAAAATAAGTTCCGCACACCTTCATTCTTGAGAAAGAGTAAGAAAAAGAAGGATGAGAAAGAAAAAGCAGAAGCCTGAGGGGAGCAACTGTAAAAAACGAAACAATAATAAGTGTTTTGCTAGGAAAACATCAGAATTGCCTTCTTAATTTGCAGCTTGTTGAAGGGAAGTGAAATAAGAGGAAATACTTTAATTTAGTCAGCTAGTCTCCAAGGACTGTGTTGTTTTTACACAGCTTCCTACATTCACAGCTATTATTTCATGTGAAAATGATTCCGAGAAGTGCCAGCAGATGGTAATATGGACGTGTTTTTGTCCCGCGAGAATTTGATATTGATCACTCCTGAAGGGCTCAGTAAAATGAAATCAAATGAAAAGTGAACATAAAACTGCATATTTGTAGTCTTTATTACCCATATTTTTAATGGGGTTTCAAAATGGAAATCAAAGGTTATGAAAATATCAGATTACAGTTGCGTATTTGTGATATATTTTTGCACAAGTTCATTGTTGAATGTATACTGAAAGCTAAGAAAATTGTTTAACAATTTAAAAATGTAACAATCACACAGGTAGTGTAACAATGGCTGAGCATAACAAGGTTTTACAACATTCAGCCTCTTCAAAAGTACGATTTGTATCTGAATCTAGTCAAGTTATGCTATCTTGTAATAATATATGTTGATTTATATTATAAGTATTACAATATAGTGTTTGATAGTTAAATAAATGATTTTATAGACTTTAAATATTTACTTTACCTACTAACTCTTATACTAAACATGCTGTAATTGGTAATTCAGTAATATTTCATATTGTTTTTACATTGACGTCAGTGGTATTGTTCCCATGGTTGCTGCTTTATCGTAATTGTGACAAGGAATGGACTGACTAACAGAAAGAGCCCAGTAAAGTGAGGAATGTTGCGTATTGATGTTTTTGGGTGACAAAGTTTGACATTTACAGAATTGAAAGAACATCAATGCTTGTTTGGACGTTGACAATGAAAGTGCCAAGCCTGAATGGCAGGAAGTTGAAAGTGATGGACGTTTTGATTCATAGTGTGAGTTGATGGCTGTATGCTGTGGAACGCTTGTCTTCATCGCCACTGTTAGTGTGATATAAAGTATATTAGAGGATTACATATTTACATCCCAGTCAATAATGTGAATGATTTGTTTTGACCCAAAGAGAGTGAACTCTTTGCCTTTGTAAATAGTTTGTATTTGTGAAGTTGTTTTGTTAAGCTAAACCAAATGTTAAACAATGAAACTTAGAAATGTGACAGTACAATCTAATAACACTATTTTAACACGTCTTTTATGATATTTTCTATTCACCCTTATTAAGCTCCCCATTTAGTGAACATGCACAGCGCACTGTGTTTACAAATTGTATTTACTTATGTAATGTGCTTGTATTTTCCTGCATTGTTTACATAGCTATCTGTATCGCCTGGGTTTTCTCCATGGGGCTTTACATTACAGTCACTGTTGAAGTCAGTCTTTCTAAAATGGCCTTCCACCTGATGTAATAAAAGCTCAGATATATTTCGATAACTGTTTTATTGCTCTCTTGTTTATTGACTCAATGGTATATGACGTTAGCATTTATTATCTTTACTCAAATACAGTTTAAACATTGAGAAGGTTTCTTATGTTGTTGGTGCATTTATTTGAGCCTGATGTAGTTGTGCAGCTCTATCTAATTATATCCAGTTTGAAGACACACAGCCCCCCTCAAGCACAGAATAAAGCTTTCTAGAAAAACTACACAGCCTCCCCTTTTATTTTTAAACCAGCGTACCCCTAAAACAATACAGTCTGTTGAGCGATAATTGACCGTGTGAAGCTGTATAATCAGTCTTCGGTCATGATATGAATGGGTGTTGTCATGGTAATCCACTGAGAGGGGGCTGTGGAGACAAAGGGGATTTGGTGTCTCCAACAGGTGTTCATGTTGGGGGAGTGACAGGATCTATACCTACACCACCCCCAACCCATATACACCTCTCTTAGGAACTGAAAAACAGATAAGATGAGGCCAAAAGGTAGTGCATTTAATTGACAATAAAAACCGCTAAATAAAAAAAAAAAATTTAGCATTTAGTGTACAAAATAAATACATGTTCAGCTTGTTGAAGAGACGTGAACAAGGGAAACGACTATAATTCAGTCAGAAAGTCTCCTGGGACTGTAATTTTCTAACTGCTTCCTACAGTATACTCACAGCTATTATTATGGGGAGTGACAGGATGTATATGTACCACCCCAAACCCATATACACACCTCTCCTATAGGAGCCCAAAAACAGATAAGACGAGGTCAAAAGTTTGTGCATTTAAATTAACTTAAAAACGAAATAAGTAAAAAAAACATATATGAGCAATTACATCATTATGAGCAATTACAATAAAAAACGATGTGTTCTGCTGGAAAAGCATCTGAATTACTTTCCTAATTTTCAGGTTGTTGAAGAGGAGTCTCCCGGGACTTCCTATACATCATTTGGGTGACAGGATGTATTCCTACACCACCCTGACTGTATACACACCTCCCCTTAGAGATTACTACGAGAAGATGAGATTAAAAAAAGTATTAGGTTTATTTGAACATGACCAAATAAATAAAAAAACAAAACATTTGATTTTGAAGTAAAACATAGCTGCTTATGCTGAACATAAATATTGACGGTTAAAAGGAATACATTGCTGGATGGAATGAGACAGGCTTTTTAAAATAACCTTTGTTTCTCCCTTTCCTATTATCTAAAATGCATGACTACTGCCCGGCTCCAAACTTGTTATCTGAACAATCCCTTTAAATGGGACGATAACAAAGCTTAGCGCTGAGCTCCTGACAGTGCTAAGGAGCAGCTGACACACGTCTGGCCTGCCTGAGTGTCCTTCTGCTGTGACCTCAGGGCAAAGTGCACCCATTGTTTCCAAACAACAGGGGACGGCTGCAGCACAATGCTTCATCTGAGCTCATCTTGTAGACCACCAGCACGTGAGAGGAGAGCATCAGCAGGATAGATAGCTCCTGATGAAAAACATATATTCCATTTCAACAAAATCCCAAATGCTTACTATTCCCTGCTGTTTGGCACATTCTTTCATAACACACACACACACAGCAGCATCGTGTGACTTTGCCTCCTCTGTGACAGCCGAGCCACCGGTGTAATCCTCAGGCTTTTCAGATTACTCCAGTTGGGGTCACATTCTACACCAACCTACAGTGGGTCAGCTTTCCACGCCGGCGCTATCAGCGTGCAGCTTGTACAGTCGGTCAGCTGCACACATCCTCAGTGCACAGAGGAGCTTTTCCCTGCTGAACTCTCTGCCCATGTCACACTATCTTTTTCTGTCCCTTTGAGAAAATGGGCAGCAAAAGATAGGATGAAATTGGATATTACAGTTATATTGGCATTTCGGACAGATGCTCTAGTAACAAGAGACTTATAGTAAAATGCATACTAGAAGAGAAAGTATTCCAAAAATAATCCTGTATTTGTTGGTTTTAGACGTCTTTTAGGGCTTCATGATTATTACAAAGTTATATTATATATATATATAGTTAGATATTTTGACTAATATTGCAAGTGCAATACATTTTGCAATATCAGAGGCAATAACCGTTTTGGAACATTATTCACATTATAATTGAAAAATATATTTAAATATTCCTGGTATGACTTTTAAGAGGATCTCTATCAAAAAAAGATTGTTCTTATTTAGATTACCCGGACTTTTCTGTTTACCAAAATACTCAATTCAGAATGAAATTATCATATATTTTGCATTTAGGAAATATTGCTCCTACTGGGATTTGGATATTGCACGTCTCTATATTGAGATTTCTATCAAAGTTAGATTTTTTTATGCAGTCCTAACACCTTTGAGTCAGAATTTGAGCATGCTTTTTCACTACAGACTTTCTGTTTCAGACCAGGACTGTCTGTGAGTGTCAGGCCTTGCCAGGCAGCTGAAATAGACTCCATGGGAGGGTGTGCTCTCTCACAGGCGTCCGTTACAGGCCACATCTGCAGCGGGCCAGCCATCTGCACCCATTGTCTGAGAGGCACAACACAGCCCTGCACGCATGGCTAGCCTCGTAAAGGCAGGCCCTTTCTACTCTGTCCTCCTCCTTCCCTCAGCGTGTGGGGAAGAAATGACTTCTTAATAAGTCGAAAGGGACAGCAGGAGTAGAAAATCAAGCTAGGAGTAAACCAAATGTCATGGTTCGTTTTGCAAAGGACAGGTAACTTAAAAGATCAGTAAAGTATGGTCGCTTTAACTATGAATTATGTTGTCCACTGATCCTGCTTAGTCTGACATTAACCATAATCTCACTGGTTTACTTTCTTGGTATCGCCATTTATTGTTGTAGAATTGAAAGAATATATTCAAATCCAACGTGATAATATGTGAAAACAATGTGGTCTACTCTACTAAAAAGACAGGGGAAAACAATGGGATTATCAAAATCCAAATAACCTCAAACTACCTCATACATTTTATTAATGTATTGCATTCACACTATAGGGTAAAACACCCCTTAATTTGGGATACAGTGAGTAAGCAAATTTCCTTAAAGTAGCATTTAATAGACTAACCATTTATCTCTGATATACTATCAATATACTGATACATCCTCATACTGTATATGGCCATGTGGTCTAAATGCTTTTCACTTTCAAACAACTATGCTCACATACATTCAGACAAAACTGTGTGCACATTGATGGCAGCTTAAATTTGTAAAACATATCCAGATGATGTTAAATGAAATAAAGCAGTGTTGAAAAGCAGGCATTATGTGTGTTATTTGTTATTCTCCTAGTGTATTGATAATGAGGATGCATTATGGCACAGTTAACAATGAATGCAATGTGAATGCGTTAGTGGGAGGGATTATCCACCAAGTAGGGCAAGTGGCTGAGGCTAAAGACTGCAATTCCATCGAGCCTATTTCATTTCAGTCCGCCGCTCAGATCACAGACGGGACAAGGAGAGCAATTCAGCGCTGCTTTTTTGTCCAAGTCCCCCCCACAAAAAAGCCTAAAGTGAAAATGGTAAAGTACATGCGACAGCACAGCGAGCTGAAACTCGAAGAGGTTCTGTCGGAGTCTGATGCGTCCATGGACCAGCAGGATTTTGGAGAATTGTCCGACTATTCTTTCAGCGACGTTTTATACTCCAAATGTTCCGCAATGGACCAAATCGGCACTTTCATGAAGAACGTGCAAGTGCTGCTCGATGCAGCAAATTACATAGAAAATGTCGAGAAGAACAACGGAAGTAAGTAAACACGGGCAGCAGGGGATATTAACACGTAATGCGCCGAGCAGACAACAAAAGAGACGAAGGCGACAAAAGACGCGCAGCGGACAGATGAGCTGGCCCGGCAGCAGCCAATGATAGTTCACCTGCTACTGATAAACTGTAGTGGAATCGACCGTATACACGAAATATCCACAGTCGAAAATAAGTTGAAAATTGCCTACATAAATTCAGGAAATTGCATCTCCAGAGACTGATTTGATTGCAAGCCTTAAGCCAAATTACCTTCTGCTCCCTTTAAAACTGGTTATCTGCAGAGGCTTCATCGAACAAGCACGATCATTCATTATTAAAGATCTAAAGGCTTGCATAAGGGCACATTTTAGGTGAATTCAAGCAGCCTATTAGCCTACGTTTTATTCTAGTTTTATTTTTATATGAGACTTGTAATTCTCTATTTAATCTTTTATATCGGTTCGACTGCAGCTCAATTCACGCTTATCCCATGCATTGAGATAGCCTATCGCATCCATTCAAAGATAAATATTGAATCCAATGTCCCTATTTCATATACAACCAGCGATTTAGAGTTTATTTCCTCAACATTTCCAATTCAAGAACCTCCTATCATTTACAGGAGCAGCTGCTGCTTCCTTGTATGTGTTGTTCACATGGTTTCCACATGGAACAAATTGTAAAGTTGTCATTGGTCCGCACACATGTTCCCAGCACGAGAGTCACGGCAGACAGCCAATCACAGCCAGGTTCACGTCTGACGTCGGATGTTACTGGGAAGGAGGGTTCAAGGGAACTGTAGGCGTTTTTGAGAACAGGAAGAAAACTAGAATATAAATGTGTCTTGATATGTGGCTGTATTGATATTAGCGTTTTTAAGAAGGGTTGTGAGTTTTAATTATTTAAGTAAATCCTTGGAGGTTTTGCCACATATTTAAATGTAATTTAGAATTCAGGTCACATCAAGTATTCAAGTCTAAGCCATCGTGAAGCCTTTTACTTCTATCACATTTGTTAAAAATATGTAAAATGTATTTTAATAAAATGTTTATTTTTCATCACCAGAATGTGAGCATGGTTATGCTTCAACCTACCCAGACACCGAGACTGCACATCAACAGAAACAGCGTAAATTCAAGAACAGGAAGTTGGACAATATACACAATAGGTAAGTTAAAGTGTTGAAAAATATCCCTCAAAAGAAATATATTCCAAATTATTACAATGTGTCCTGTGTGTACAGAATTGTCATTAGTAAGCAATTTTTAACATTAAATGATAAGTATGGTGTATAGCAATATGTACTCCACTATTATTTTACATCACTATTGGGATAGGTTTTTAAATATAGATTATATAATAATATAGATATAGATATGTTGTATTTTGCATCATTAGGACTTGTCTAACAGTTTTTTCATATGTTTATAATTTCAATAGGTCAGCACACAATGAACTGGAAAAAAATAGGTGAGTAAAACTACATTGAAAATATTATTTATATGCATGTTTAAAACACTCACTACTGAAAGGTCAAGATTACTCTAAGGGAACATGGACAAGAGCACAATGAATATGAAATGTAGGCACTGTGGGTAATCATTAATTGTTATGCATGCATATGTGCAAAAATCACACAGAAAAAGGAGTGAAAGATCGAATATCTTCAGCATTTTAACTGCTTTAGCAAATGGATGTTCACAGGGAGTCTATCTAAAGAGCCTGCTGCCTCAAAATGGAGCTTCAAGCTGATAAACCAAAAGCGTACTACATTCTGCCAGCTTTGCATATCTTGGTGCATACCATTTTCAAATGAGATGCACTGCAGGCCTATAAATCATCTTATTATCACCCTAGAACTCACAAGAAAGGCATCTTTATCACCATTGGTGTATGATTGCAGAAATCATTTTGCATGGCAAATAAAAGGATGATGTAATGCAGCAGCAGCAGCAGCAGCAGCAGCAGCAGCAGCAGCACTGTTCCTGGAGGACGTGAAGACATTTCTCCAGTCAGCAAATGGGAACCGTCTGTTTACAGGCTCCTTCCTGAGAGAGTCTCATGCGCAAATCTAACAGTAGCTTGCTTCTATCGCCCCAGAATGAGGAAGCCTCTGCTTGAGCTAGACATAAATGTCAGAACATGTTTATCCTTACGATCCCAGATAATCTCCAAAAGCACACCAAGTGTGTGTGAATCTTGGTTTGAGCGATACACTGAGTTATTAGAAAAATGGCATCTTCAAATGCAAGGCTTATTTCATATCAGGCTATTTTAGACAACAAAATGGTTGCCAATGCAGAGAGAAGAGATGACATCATAACTTGACCTACATTTTACTCACTTATCTGAAAGGACAGCGAGTGTCCTCCGCCAGTTACTGCATTTGGTCAGACCACAGGCCCAGAGGCCTTGGTGGATCAGAATCAGTATTGAGCTGACCTCAGCAGTTTTACAATCTGGGGCCAGACCGATCTATACGGTATTGCAAAGGAGTATGATGGTGTGGTGGCTAACTAGAATAATGGATAAACAAATAAATCAAATGCTTGAATATCATGATTATTACATTGCTCATTCCAGATCTATAATGCTATTATAATTAGAATCGATCCAATCCAATAGGGATTTGCCTCAACTATTACAACACTAATCAAATTGGATAAGAGGGATATATTATAATCTGACTTAATCCGGATCAGTGCAGAGGAAAATAATATATTAGTCTGGAAATTCATCTCGCTGTCTGCATAATTGCTTCACAATGCATATTACTCCATGCACGCTGTCTCTTAAGAGAAATGACCCGTCTTGATTGTCTCCCCCAACAGACGAGCACATCTCCGCCTGTGTTTGGAGAGGTTGAAGTCCCTCATCCCTCTGGGGGCAGACTGCAGTCGGCACACCACACTAGGACTGCTTAACAAGGCCCAAGTACACATCAAGGTGAGGTGCCCATGCTACCATCATCGGATAAAGGGCTACATTCTGTCAATTTCTATGCTCAAAGGTAATGACTTAAACATATTTAAATACTGCTTCCACTGTTTCACCCACATGGTTGGTAATACTAGTTAGGGAAAGTATGAGTAGCAACCTAAAAGTCCTGAGGCTGAATTCAACAAGAGACTAAAGCAGCTCAATTGAATTGAGCCAATGTTACTTTTTAGTATTTATTTATTTTCTTTTTCTTTTGTGACTCGTCAAAATGCCATCATCTATTCCAACTAGGGCTGTCAGTCGATTAAAATATTTAATCGCGATTAATCGCATGATTGTCCATAGTTAATCGCGATTAATCGCAAATTAATCGCACATTTTTGATCTGTTCTAAATGTACCTTAGAGGAATCATTTTCAAGTTTTTAATACTCTTATCAACATATGAGTGGACAAATATGCTTTATGCTAATGTTTATTATCATTTGAACAATGACAAATATTCTCATGAATATTAAACACAACAACCTCTGAACATTACAAATATTCGCCTCAATTCAACCTGGAACCTCTCTCATACAATAATACAATACAAATGGTGTGTGTGTGTGTGTGTGTGTGTGTGTGTGTGTGTGTGTGTGTGTGTGTGTGTGTGTGTGTGTGTGTGTGTGTGTGTGTGTGTGTGTGTGTGTGTGTGTGTGTGTGTGTGTGTGTGTGTGTGTGTGTGTGTGTGTGTGTGTGTGTGTGTGTGTGTGTGTGTGTGTGTGTGTGTGTGTGTGTGTGTGTGTGTGTGTGTGTGTGTGTGCAACTCCAGGCATATGCTCGAACGGGAGCTGCCTGGACGCTGCAATCATGTTGCGCGCACTATCCGTGCTGAGTGTGCTGACTTTTCGTACAATGTCCCACTGTCTGGCTTCCTGCATAAAGTCAAGTGCTCGGCGCAGTTGTGGCGAAATGTCGCTCCTCTGTTTTCATTTAAACAGCTCCTTAGATCCGTTAGCGCAGCTAGCTAGCACCAGATGCTAACAACAACAATGCACGTAAGGTCTCTCTCTCGCTCGCTCGGGCCACACATACACACACCCTCCCGGTCCTCCCAATAGCCAGTCGGTGCCTGCCGGTGAGCGTGGAAGTGTGGTCTGCCACAAGCGGGGCTGTCAGCATCAGCTTGTAGATGGTATTTTAAACTTGATGCGCTCTGAAACTACGGGGTGGCCGAGGAAAAAAAATACACATGCGTTAATCGCGTTAAAATAATTAGTGGCGTTAATTTTTTTTTGCGTTAACGCGTTAGTAACGCGTTAACTTGACAGCCCTAATTCCAACATAATGGAGTTTTACGCTCACACCTTTCACTCACATATATTGAATTAAGAGATATCTAGTGTTCCCTTGAGTAAAACAATGTTTGATGTCATATTGACAGCAAATATAGATCGGTGGTACAACAGAAGATGACTTTGACCTAGCAGTAGCACCCATTCGATTTTTATCTGAGACCCAATCTAATCCATAGTGATGGTTTACAAAAGGCTGACCAGTCAATATACTGATCCTGTTTTTATTTTTAGAACACAATTGTATGTTAGTCTCTTACAGCAGCTCTCACCCTAGGTGGCCCACAGCCTGAGTATGTCTGAACTGCAAATATGATTCTGTGGCACTAAAGCATCCAAGACTCAACACTTTGACCCCCTGATGGATGCAGTCTAAGCCAGATCAGATATTTTTGGGGAAAATCTGATTTTCTCAAGCTGTGTCTGGGCAGACTCCAGTAATGGGAAACAGTAGGGATGACTGTAGGCTACAATATGAAAGCAATCCTCGCAACAATCTGTGATTTTATTACAACAGGGGAAATGGATTGAGTACCTACTATATATTGTCAACTGTTGACTTTGGACCTGCCTGTTTGAAGTCCAAGAAATGTGGTCCCTGAAAGCTGCTGTGTTTTATGTTTGGAACCAGAGGATGTGTAGGACAGTAAAAGGGTAGAAAAGGTGCAGACAGCATTTTCTTACAAGGAAGTTAAGTTGTGGGAAACGTACTATCCTTTTTACGCTATGCCTTCAAGCAAATATAATCCTTATGCAACAGTAATTTGGAGAATCAAAGAGAAAAATTAACCATGCATGGAAACTCATACAATACAGCACGTTACTGTGCAAAACTATAATACAGTATGTCTTATTTTATTAAATGTATCAAAGTTGAGAAATCACCACAAAGCTCTAAGGCACATTCTTAACCAATTAAAAGGCCTAATACAGGATGTTGTTGCTTCTTTTTGGAATAATCAGCAGAATAGTGGCATTAAAAATGTTTTTCCTACAGCAGTAAATATACATCATTTGAGTAATTATTAATATGCTACTGCAGCAGTATTACATTTTAAGATGTGATGATTGGGATGAAATGATTAAATGACTGAGGTTCAAAGTTCACCTTCAGGACTTTGGTTTTATATTAACTTTTCACACATAGTTAAGTGTGCCATTTGTGATTGTCGTTTGAGGCATTTAAGCAGGCTTTATTTAGAATTGCTATTAAATAACACACCGATTCTATCGTCATGTTTAACTTGAATCCAATGGACACAGACACACCATCTACTCATCTAGAATCCACCGAGCAACGTGCTGTCCTTATGCGTTAAATATTTCATTAGAAGGCACAGGGGGGCGTCACATTTGATGGTAGCTTTATAACTAAATATTAACACCACATCACTGCACCCGAGACAAGTTCACCATCCTCTCATGCATATAGTATATTAATCATAAGGAACATCTAGAGAAATGCGTCCATCACGGTTTGATTGAATTGCTAAGTAATTAATGTATGCCATTTTCTTAATGTCTTTCATTTTTTGTAAAGCACTTTGAATTGCCTTGTGTTGAAAAGTGCTATATAAATAAACTTGCCTTGCCTTGCCTAGCCTAAACACTAAATGTGCCAGGTTGGTTCTGATTGTTCTGATTACCTTTACATAAAAACGAAATCATTAACTGTTTTGCATTTTCCTTTTTCTACAGAAACTTGAAGAGACGGACCGGAGGAGTTTGCACCAGCTAGAGAACTTGGAGAGGGAGCAGAGGCACCTGCAGAGGCAGCTCTCCCAGCTGCAGCCTCATGGAGACTGGGAGAGGGTCCGTAAAGACAGCCTGGGCTCCCGCATGGACTTTGACCGCTTAGAGTCTGACAGAGGTTAGTTTCTGATTAAGATCCGTTACCCAGGGGCAAGCTTTGTAATCTAGGACTGCACAATTCATCTATTTTAAATATGCATTTTATATTGTCTATCGCTATATGACAGATAAGTGTATTCGATGGCCTCTACTGTAACCAAAAATATTTAGGGCTAATATTCATGTATTTTTTCATATAGCAAAGAATATTGCAGAGAAAGTAATAATGTTAGTTTTTCTCTATATAATGCAGCCTTAATTTGTATTGGAGGATTTGCAGGAATGGAGAACAACATGGAAGGGAAGGCAGTGATCTTAATGTGAAAGTGCAATACAATTATTTTGGCACTAAAACATTACATTACATTACATTTAGCTGACGCTTTTATCCAAAGCGACTTACAATAAGTGCGTTCGACCAACAAGATACAAACTTGAAGAAAACAGAATCATATAAGTACATCAGGTTTCATAGAGCCAAACATTTCAAGTGCTACTCAACTGGCTTTAGATAAGCCAGTCCTTTATTAGTATATAAGTGCTTCGTTAATAGTTCTATCGCTCGAAGTGGAGTCGAAAGAGATGAGTTTTCAGTTTAATTAATAATCAAAAAATAAATAATCCTGACCTCAATATGAATCATAATGGGCATAAATATAATGTTTGTGCATCCCTACTTTAGAATATAATTATGGTTTGTCACCATATTCACTCAATTACAAATATTTATCCTTGCATGATTCAGAAAATGAATCTGTTCTTTTTTCTTTTCTGCAGAAGAAATTGAAGTTGATGTTGAAAGCACTGAGTTCTCCCATGGAGAAATGGACAGTGTGAGCACCAGTGGGGCGAGCGACCTGGATGACCACAGCAGCCGGCAGAGCACGGCCAGTGACGAGGGCTACTCCACATGCAGTCTAAAACTGGCCTTCTCTGCGTAAAGCACCAGCCTATATGTTCACATCAGCTGCAGTCTTTTATGGCTTTCACCTTTCAAAGTACCAGCCAAAAGCTCCACTCTTTTCTGCAGTTTAGGTTAGCTGTCATCAGAAGAACAACCCGTCTCAATCCCACTTATACCTGACAAATCCAACATCTACACCCAATGAACCAGCCTTAAGGTCAACTCAGTCTAAACGCTGAAAACGTCTCCTTCCAAAAGACCTGTTAGAGGTGCTCTTCTACATCTGTCTGAAACATGTAACACTATCGCCTCAAATGTAACTTCGTAGGCCTATAATACAGTATCCTCAGTTTAAGACTGACCCCTCGCCTGAATGTCCCTTAACCGATTACCAGCTTGAAATTAACCATACCTGCAAGACCCATTACCCGTACCAGTGTCCACCACTGAAGAGGAAACTCTACCTTTAGCCAAGATGACTCTCTCAAACCAGCAAAAAAACTAAAACCCCAATACCAGCTAGAAGTTCACCATTGGGAACGTTTGCTCCATTTGCCTTGTAAAAACATTGCCCCTATTCTTAGGATAATATATCCAGACAGCACTTCTTGTCAGTGTACAAGCCAGTGGCAGGGGCTACGATGTCTGCATTCCAAAATGTTTATAACACTACTATAACCTCTGCTTTAGGAGCCACAACCACCACTGATCCAAGTGGCGTCCCCTTTTTGACTGAAATGCAGTCGTATTCAAACTGGTGGTGTAGTCCACTTTTGTTATTCTAATTTATTTTTACATTATAGTATGATTATAGTATTTATTTTTGGTATATTTAAATTTGACTTTAGCTAAGTCTTGGTGTTGCTTGAATGTTTAATGTCTTATTTTTTTTAAATGTTTACCAAATTACATGACGTAAATGATTAACCCCTACAGAAGCAAACGCAGTGCTAAAGGTTAAATGCATTGCTCAAGGTCTTGTCTTCTTTTACACTTTGCACAAATTCTCTTGTATTTAGACAGCAATAATCTATCCCACAATTGTCCAAGCACAAGGCTTAAAGCATATATTTTCATCATATATTAAATGTTGGTTATGATTAGCACTCTGTCCATCCAACACCAAATTGCAGTTTGCTTGTTTTTCCACTGACTCCAGTAGTATCAGTTTTAATATTCAGCAGTAACACGATTGTAATTGATTTAAAAAAAACTATGGGGCATGTGTATTGAATGTAGCTTGTCTAATCATGTTATGTGCTTTGGTTTGACAAGTCTTTACAAATATCTGTAGCATGAACAACAAACACTACAGGACACTAATTTTGGTTCATACTTCAATGTTTAATACCGTTTCTTTTGTTGTATTCTAGCAGAAAACGATCACATACTTAACATTTGGAGATTTCGAATTAATAAGTCAATGTCTATTTTACATACTATTGCACTGCTGACCTGTTAGAATCCATGAAACCAAATAAGGCATTTCAATATGACCATTTATCTGCATTTGTTTTGGTCCAAGTCCTAAGGAGATCACCACCAAATTGTGTCTTAACATGGGTATTGCACAAAGTTCCTTGTTCCAGGTCTTTTTCCTCCCCAACCAGTTTGGGAAACTATCAAATGCACTATGAAAAAGACTGTTGCTAAGGATATGTCAAAGCACATCCCAGAATGTTTTCTCCCGTGTTTAATCAGCCATCCAAGGTGACATTTTGCAAAACATGCTGCTGGTCCCCTGCTAGTACGATGTTACAGACCCTGAATACTGTCCCTGGAATCGTAATAAACCTCTACCACCCAGACATAAATCTGTGTTGTCTTTTCTTTTCTTGGTAAGCCTACCATAAATGCTCAAATCATCATTAGATAAGTCACGTATACAATTAGACAAGTAATGAACTAAAAAAGTGAACTAACAAAAAAGAACACGTGACATAAATGGGAAGAGTGGTTGAATAAACAGCTGCAACCCACGACTTTACTGCCACCTACAGGACCCGACAGAGCCACAATAAATATATCATTTTAAAATTGAGGTAAATGACGTGGAAGCCGTTATTTAAAAAAACTGAAAACAAAACAATGTTTATTGGACTGTTATATACAGAGAAATTAAAAACGTAAATTCAGCCATGTCAAATCAACATCATTATTGAAGTGTATACCCCCACCCCACAATGGGTCAGTGTTCAAAATACAGCTTCAAATGTACAACAAAATAAATCTGCAGGTGTATATTTATTCTCGTCTTAGCAGGTATTTGGCCTCAGTGGAACCTGAACACAAACAACAAACTACAAGGTTGATCTAAAACACCACTTCCTGTTCTTACACAACAGGGGACTTTGTTCCAGTGCTGGGAAAATCTGGGATTTTTCTGTTGTACTTTGTAATATATAAGAAAACTACATCAATATTTCAAACATGGTGTGCAAGCAATTCCTTTCAAAGCTTTCTTTACTTGGGAAGTGAGACTCATGTATAAACACAATGGAAAGCACTGATACAGGAAGTATACAGTGGATCAATATATACAGAATATATCAGGTCATTGTGGCATTAGATGTCTAACATTATATTTTGCTGTGTCACTGTACTGCGTCATTGGCTTGTCTGCAATACCACATGTTCCAACTCCCACCTTTCCAGAGACGCTTTCTGGAGATGCAAATATGCTTCTCTTGACCTAGAAAAACAAAAAAAGACAGTGTTAATTATTAAATATATAAAAATGGCTTAGTGCCCATTATTACTATATACATTTACAATCCTCCCAAAGCAATTCATGGACAGTGTTAAAATGAGTTTCAAGTTTCTAACCCTCCAGTACTGTACAACGGTGCAGTATGCAATGCAGAGTGATTATATTTTACATAATATTTATTTAAAGAAATCTATGAAACTTTATGAATGTACACTTTTACTCTTCTTTGATTGTTTGAACTAAAGTTCTTAATGTCTTGCTTGAAAGCAAAATAAAGACTGGTACACTACAACCTCACCCACTGTGTTTTATCAGTGCACCATGGATTTCCCAGCACTCAAATAAAGATATCTGACGAAGAAAAAAACCGTACCTGTCCTTTCTTGTTCTTTGAGTAGGCTTTGTTGTTGAAATTCTGCCACTTTGACTTTTGTTCCTCCCTCTCTGTCTCCAATTCCTTCATCCTCAGAACCTTTTTCTGGGCTTTTTTCTTCTTATACTCTCTCTGATCTGCTATCTGTTCTTTCCTAGAAAGACAAACAAGGAGAAGAGAAACATTTAACATTGAGTCCATGATGTACAAATGCAATACCAAAAACAGCCTTAATGAAACCATGGTTTATACTGAACTATTTAATATCAACTGAAACTCTGCTGAAGCCATGAAAAATCTTTGTTAAACCGTACATAGTAGAGGTATCATGCATTCATCTTGTATGTGAAGAAACAAGACAAAGCCAGGTCTTGGAAGAGTTTGTTTTTATGTCTATATAAAGAAAAACGTACAATCATCTGTGCAATAACATTGAAATTATAAGCGACCTCCTTCAAATGTACCTGTGTCATTGAAAGGCAATACAAGAGGCGCTTTCACACCAAGTACTTTTCCCAGGAATAGTTCAAGGAACTTTCCCCCGGAACTATCTAGTAAATCGTAATAAATGTTCAAACTGGAATAAGTCCCTGAGGGAGCCGCTGACGTCACTTCTTCTGCTTTGGGTTTACTGGCAGGCCGCAAACAACTTCACGACGTAAACTGCCACCCGAAGTCCCTGAGTTGAGGACTGGCTTCAGTAGAAGCTGTTGGGACTCCCAGCAGCTTCTACTGTAGCCTTCAGAGTAAATAGCCAGAAGCGCCGACACCTCCTCATCACTCCACCGCTCCCATGTTTTATTTTGTGTTGCCATAAGTTAGTCTCTCTCCGTTGGTGCACTGGGCTAATGCTAATAATGCTAATGCGAGCAAATAAAATGGCGGCTTCATAAAAACTTTTCCGAGTTCTACAGGGCGTGGTTTGCAATTCGCCCAGCCAATCAGAAACTGGAACCTTTTCCTCCCCAGGAAAGTCCCTGCTCTCTAGCAGGGACTAAAAAGGGATGCAAAGGTTCCCGAAAAAGTTCTAGTTCCAGATCTTTTTTATGTGAACGCAAAATCCCAGGAACTATCGGAACTACTCCTGGGAAAAGTACTCCGGTGTGAAAGCGCCTAACGACACCACAGCAGTGTTTCCAGAAAACTACTCCACTCAATAGTAGGGTTGGGTACCGAGACACTTTTCATTTGCCCTGTAAGTGATGAAAATGGGGGATGTTGGCTTATCTGGCACCCGCAGCTCACAGCCAAAGTGAGAGCGTGGGAGCGAGCGAGTGCGCTGTTGTTATTAGCATGAGTGTTCTCTGAGTGTTTAGATAGTTCACTTTAGTCTAAGTTATCTCAGTGGGTCTCAAACGTTTTGATCACAATTTATGTAAACACATATTTCCAAGGCACTCCTTTATAATTATTGGGATAAAACAGGTTTGAAATCATTCCAATGTATACTATAGGACAGTAAACCAGACATATTGTTTTAAACTGGAGAAATAAAAAAATATGCATCAATAAAATAGTAAAATAAGATATGAATGAACAACAAAAATAAAATATGTTACATGTATTTGTTATTGGCTATGGTAGGTTATTGGTTATGTTCACATACTTATTTAATTATTAAAATGTAAACCGATCTTTTTCATATGGGTGTTTAGAGTTGTACCCCCTAGATCTAGTCTCTAGTAATTCTGCTTAAAGTGCACCAGATTGAAGCATTTTACTTTAAAATGTTCAAACATTTCTTCCCGGTATGCCTGAGAAGGCAGATATGCTTGTTTTTCTCAACAAGAACTGTTTTTAAATGGGGGGGGGGGTTTCCTTTAAAAGTTGGACTGTTGCCGCTTCAGTGGTTCTCAGGTTACAGTTACATAGCAGTGAATATAAACAGACTGATTAATGTGAATATTACTGTAAACTAACCTGTGTAAAAGTTTCTCGAATAAATGTAATTTTTTTGGTGGAAGAAGCATGTATCATTTTTTTACCCTGCCCCTCAAAGAATCGGAATTGAGAACCGTTAAGAACCGGAATCGAAAAGTAGAATCGGAATCAGAATCGTGGAAATTCAAACGATACCCAACGCTACTCAATAGTGATAAAGTTCTAGATTTGTATTCAGAGTAAAGGTGGATGCTCACAATTATATTAACTACGGTAACATATTTAGACAAAATATATGTAACTTGCAGTGTAATGTCAATGCCAAGCATTCCCTTAAAATATGAATAGGCTGGAAGTAAGCAAAGGTTTATATGTTTGCATATAAAGTAAGTGAGATGTGTTTTCAGTTCATACTTTGATTTAGACTTCCCATCGTCGGCATTTCGTTTCCCGTCCTCGGATGGCTTGAGGTTCTGCAGAGGAATCACTTCAGCGTTCCCGTACCCGGCGAAGGTCACGGCTGCGGTGCCATTCTCCCGGTCTATCTCCTCAATCTCAGCCTCATAAGTCCTGCCAAAGAATCACGTCTGTAAGCAGGTGAGTATGAGCCAAATACTCAAGCTCTACAAAATAAAGCAATCGTTTACTCATGTATTATACTTAATGACAAGTTAATCGGTACAAGATGTAATTATTTCAGCAATTTGTATAATAAGAAGTATTTACAGTTGACTTTTGCTACACCTATATTTATAGAGACTGGTTGAATTTAAAAACATTACTTTTTAATAAAAGTGAAATAGAAAAGTGTACGGGAATTGCTTTTTTACGAAAAGAGGCTGGTGATACTCACTGTCCGTCCCGATTCCACACAGCCAGGCAGTTGTCCCCCACTTTCCAGCGCTGCTTCACTGGTACTGTCACTGAACTATTAGTAGTTGAAGTACTCTCAGCGGGTTGTGAGGTAAGAAGGTCTGTTGTCAGATCGATGACTTCCTGCAGGAAAAAAGTAGGTTATTTCAGTGTTTTGGCTTTTCCTTAAAATCAAGCCCTGTGGGGAGCTCCAACATCATACTTTTATGATTTGGATGTACGAGTATGAACATCTTAAGACCATGGCAATACTAACACTAACTGTAATTAAGCATTTAAATAATATTTGCATGTAAATTAAGATGCTTCTCTTTAACATGAAAGTATATATTTCACATGACAAACCTGCAAATGTATGACAACAAAAGAGACCCTACGGATAAGATTATTCTGTGTGATTAGGATAATTATTTTTGCTCCAAAATCTATACAATGTGTAAAAACATACACATTCAGATAGCTAGTTTTCACAGTGAAGTATTTCAATGTTATGATTTGGTATTCAATGTTTCCATTAGAAAGTGTTTAAGCTTTATTTCGAATCCAGCTATTATAAATACTCTTAAGTGTAATTCAATATACTTTACTACATTATAGTCACACAAACCTGCAAGTCTTTCTGGAGTTTAAGGAGGTCTTCATTTTCTTCGTCGGTAGATAAGGCAACTTCTACTTGCTGTAGCTGGGCTTTGTAGCTGTTCAACTGTTTCACCAAGTCTTCCGACATCTGTTCGTATACAAAAAGAAATAGCGTGTTTGGCTAACGTTAGCATATCCCAAAAGCTAATCGTAAACAACTTTCAATATCGAGCCACCACACATGAACGTTACTATAATCAGACTACATTTTCGTATCGTGTTTGAATGCAACTGGGTGAACCGTGGACACATCCACATCTAGCGTTAAATGATAAACAAGATGAATACATTAGCTTGACGCTAAAACTGTTAGCAATACCCCTCGGCCTTCTTTCGTC